TTCGTATCCCTTGGGAGTGGATGCTGGACACAGGCCTCATTGGTCAGGTAAGCAACACATGGCTTATTTGTGTAGTAAAAAACTAATAATAATTAATGAATAAATAATGCATGTAAAGATTTTACACTATTATCTAATCATATATATGATAAATGTGGAGGAATTTACTTATTTCAAAATTGACAGTACCTATGTTAACTATCAGGTATGGTCAATTTTGAAATAAGTAAATTCCTCCACATTTATCATATATATGATTAGATAACGGTGTAAAAACTTTACATGCATTATTTATTCCTTAATTATTATTAGTTTTTACTTAGTGACCGAATAGAATTTCGTCGCTAATTTTAACTACTATTTAGCGACCGAATAGAATTTCATTGCTAATTGTAACTAATATTTAGCGACAGAATAGAATTACGTCGCTAATTGTAACTAATATTTAGAGATCGAATTTAATTCTATCGCTAAAAAAATCAAAATTTATAATTTAGCGACCGAATTCAATTCTGTCGCTAATTTTAACTAATATTTAGCGACCAAATTTAATTTCGTCACTAAAAAAATCAAAATTTCTGAATTAGCAACCGAATTCAATTCCGTCACTAAAAAGATAAAAATTTCTAATTTAGCGACCGAAATAGCGACCGAATTAAATTCCGTCGCTAAAAAAATCAAAATTTATAATTTAGCGACCGAATTCAATTCTGTCGCTAAATTTAAATAATATTTAGCGACCGAATTCAATTCCGTCACTAATTTTAACTACAATTTAGCGACCGAATTAAAGTCCGTCGCTAAAAATCAAAATTTATAATTTAGCGACCGAAATAGCGACCGAATTCAAATTCCGTCGCTAAATTTAAACAATATTTAGCGACCGAATTCAATTCCGTCGCTAATTTTAACTACTATTTAGCGACCTAATTAAATTTCGTCGCTAAAAAAATCAAAATTTATAATTTAGCGACCGAACTCAATTCTGTCGCTAAATTTAAATAATATTTAGCGACCGAATTCAATTCCGTTACTAATTTTAACAATTTAGCGACCGAATTAAATTTCATCGCTAAAAAAATCAAAATTTATAATTTAGCGACCAAAATTAGGTCGCTAAATTTAACGACTATTTTAGTGACCGAATTCAATTTCGTCGCTAATTTTAACTACTATTTAGCGACCGAATTAAATTTCGTCTCTAAAAAAATCAAAATTTATAATTTAGCGACCAAAATTAGGTCGCTAAATTTAACGACTATTTTAGTGACCGAATTCAATTTCGTCGCTAATTTTAACTAATATTTAGCGACTGAATTAAATTCTGTCGCTAAAAAATCAAAATTGACAATTTAGCGACCGAAATAGAGATCGAATTTAATTCCGTCACTAAAAAAAATCAAAATTTATAATTTAGCGACTGAAATAGCGACCGAATTTATTTCTGTCGCTAAAAAAGCAAAATTTTTTATTTAGCGACCGAAATAGCGACCGATTTTCTAGCGAAGACTTATTTTGGTCGCTAAATCGGTCGCTATTTTGATTTTTCATAATCAATCTCTAAATTTAGCGACTGATAAATTTCGGTCGCTAATTTCGGTCGCTAATTTTGATCGCTATTTTGCAATTTTCTAGTAGTGTCCCATATATAGGTGATTTATTTTATCTCTAGTTTTAGAGATGATGTATGATATCTTGAAGATATACCCAATGATTACGTAAAAATATTGTTATTGATCAATATAGATACATTTATTGATTAGTAGAGATATTGTTTCCGATAAGTAAAGATATTTCGTTAGATAAAGATAATATGCTTGATTATCATATTTTATAAGATATTCATGTCAAGATGTCTCATTAGTTGTTTAATCACCTAGTGTTTAACTTTATGATGATGGATTGAAGGCTTGGCATGGGCAAGTAGGAGAAGGCTAGCTTAGTTTGGTCAAGCTAGGTGGCACATAAATAAATGTTATGCTTGAATATATAAATCATATTTAAAATTTGTATATATAGAGACTTTTAAATATATAAATTATATTTTTTATTTATGTTAAATAATTTATATTGTAGCACAATCTTATTTTTGTTTATTGAAAATTTATTTAAAAATATTAAATTTAATTAATAAATAATTATGTTAAATAAAAATTGAATTAGATAAAAAAATCTCTCAAATTTATCTTGTCAAAGAAAAACTCTTAAAAATATTATCGTACAAGATAGAAGTTTGTATTTAATATATAAATATTAAAGGTTAATATTTAAAATTTGCGTATGTAGATACTTTTAAATATATAAATTATATTTTTCTTTATTTATGTTAAACAATTTATATTGTAACACAATATTATTTTTATTTATTAATAATTTATTTTAAAATGTTTAAATTTATAATAATTGCATTAAATAAAAACTGAATTAGATACGAATTTATAAAAAAAAGTTCTTAAAAAACCTTTTTGTTGATGTAAAGTTTCTAAAAATGCTTTCACACAAAATAGAGATTTGTGTTTAATATATAAAGGATTGATTTTAAATTTATGCCAGATGAAAAAATTAGTGTAATTTTTTTTAATTTCTACTGTATGTTGAAATTTGTGTTTTTAATATTTTTTTTACAAAAATATTTAATTAATTTTTGGATGGATATAAGATGATGACAAGTATATCCAATACTATAGAAGTAAACAAGGATGAAACACAAATTTTATATCCATTGAATATTGGGAATAGGGATGGGTCTAGAGTACAAATTCGGAGATGAGAATGGAGATTTTGAAACTTACATCATCCCGTTTAGGGTACAAATTCGAAGATGGGAATGGAGATTTTGAAACCCACATCATCTCATCTCGTTATCATCCCTAGCTTGTGTTGACTTCTTAGCAAAGCTAAATTTGAAGTATGGTATTGCACTACATGAGTTGGATGTTCAACTTGTAATTAATGCAAATAAGGTATATCATTTCTAAGGTTGTCATTTTTTCTCTTTGTTATTAATCTCTATTTACAAAAAAGAACATTTTCATTGGAACTTGGAACAGTCAAGGTTAAGAATATATCTATAATCTAGGTTTAAGAATATCAGGACCACTTTTTATTGACTTATTCACAACATATTTTGCATAGAGAAATGCGAAAAGAAACCCCTAATTCACAATGTAGGATTAGTAATGTCTTTCTAATTAAGCAACCAAGAATCCACTTGCTCATCTTTCTTAACTTGGAGTTATTCCCTCATCCTAGTTGCTTTCCCCATGTTATTTTCATCTTCGGCTGAAAAAAAAAAGTGTCATAAAATTAATTAGTGAAATTATCTCCACTGAGATTTTAAATTGGTCTACAATGAGCAACTTTATTATGGGAAAACAAAACCACATTTCTAAGATAATATAAGGATTAGAGCCGAAGTAGTCATATTAGTTACCATGTCTGAGCAATCTTTGTTTCTCAAAAACTTCAATTTCTTGGTACAATCTTTGTTCTTCCACCTTCATGTGTTGCTTCTCATTTTGGTAGAAAGCCTCTTCTTGTTCAAGTCTAGCCATGTGATCCTGCATATGTATGCACAGAAATGTATAAATGCATTATATCCTCATCATATCAAAGAAATGTTTGAAAGTTGTGATCGACTACATAGCCACAAGCGTAAAGGTTGATATAAAATTTTATTCCCACATGCGTAAAAGCTAGCATCTAAATATGATTCCATGATGATCAATTTACAAGACAACGATTGTTACCACTATGATAAGGCTCAACTTCATAATAATATTACAACAATAATAAATGCCTTATCATATTAAATAGATTAACTACATAAACCACACAATCATATACATTCAACGCGGTTAGAACAATAAAATTTCAAACACCATTTCTCATAACAATGATTTTAAAATATTAATAAAATTAATCACCTCCAAAATTTTGGCTTGATTTTCCAAATTGGCCATCATGACTTTCTTCTTGAGCACGGATCTTTGGGAATAAACTCGGCTTAACTCCTTTCTACAAAAGAATTAAATTAGACAAATTAAATTCAATGCATGTATATGTGAACCAAACACTTACAGTAAGTATAACATGAAACTCAAATAAAGCAACCTACCTCCTCCTTTTATTTTCGTCAAGCATGTTTTGTTCATTGGAGGCAACAATGGAAGCAGCCTCCAAAACTGCATTTCTTGTAGGTGAAAAGTTGCTAGTGTCACCATAAATGACCTTCATTTCACAGTTCTCCATCACTATTTTTCTATAAAAATGAAACAACAAATGGATATTAATTGAGAGCTCAAATTAGACTTCTTATGCTATTGAGTCCTGGTACATAAGTTGTTATATATTGTTGCAAAGCAGATTCATTACACACGACCAGTTACCAAATATTTAAGAGTAAGCATGAAAATGCTTAATTAGTGTAATTTAGTGAATTAACATTTGAGTAGTCTCGTTAATATTAAGATGTTTATATGAAGTTGAGTTATCCTGATACTCGTGTATGCACACTTTTTAAAGAGAAATTGAATGACCAATTACTAATTAGGTTACATAAAAATCATATGAAAGTTGTCTCTACACTTAAAACGGATCCTCAACTAGTTGTAGACAAAACATTAGTTATTAATACAACCAAAATTTTCAATTAAATGACTTATTAGTAATCTTGTGATTATCACCATCATGTAGAAACCCATAGTATACAACTGCCTTATGCCTCAAAACCATCCCACCAAGCAAAAGCATTTATAATTAATCACATGTAACATTATAGGGTCAGCTTGTTGCCCCTATTAACTTCTCGATATTTGTAAATATAATATACATATTTCAGTTTAAAATATAGTAACAAATATATGATAATTATTTTATTAAAAAATATACACCAATACTCCTAATCTTAAAGTCTATATTAGTTTTTAAATAAATTTTAAAAATTTTCTAGAAATTATTGAAGTTCTTTGTGAAAAATGACTAAAAGTGTTCCGAATTAACTACATATGAAAACCCAACCAAAATACACAACATAAATTAGAAAAATATACAATGATTATGTGAACTATAATTTTTGTTGAAGAGTAATATTGAATAAATATTTTATTAATATGGGAGTTAATTAATATAGAAATTAAAATAATATAAGTATTCCTAATTAGTAAAAATTGACAATATTTATATGGAAAATTAATTTTCATGCATGTATAAGTAAACCAAACACACTTAAAGTAACATGAAACTCAAATCAAGCAACCTAGCTACCTCTTTTCCTTCTTTTGTTCAACGGAGGCGACAATGGAATAAGCCTCAAAAACTACATCTCTTGCAGGTGGAGAGTTGTTAGTGTCATTGTTCTCCATCACTGTTTTTCTGTAAAAATATAGTTACAAAGTAGTCTTTTTGTGCTATGGAATGTTGGTAAGTAAGTTGTTATATAGTGTTTCAAAGCAAATACACTACACATGACGAATTACCAAATAATATTTAAATAGTCTCAATGATATTAAAATGTTTATGTGAAGCTAGGTTATCCGAATACTCGTGCATGTACACTTAAACGAAAATCGAGTGACCAATTATTTATTAAGTTATGTACAGATCATATGAAAGTTGTCTCCACTCTTGAAACCGATCATCAACTAGTTGTCGATAAAAACTAATCATTAATACTGCCAAAATTTTCAATTAAACGGCATGTAAATAACCCTATGATTGCCATCATCATGCAGCAACTCATAGTATACAACTGTTTTATGTTGCAAAACCGTCAAGCAAAACTGTTAATCATTCATCATATATAACATTGTGGGGTCAGCTAGGTTGTCCCCATTAACTTCTCAATATTTATAAATAAAATATACACATTTCATTTTAAAATATAGTTACAAAAATATCATGATTATTTTATTCTCAAAAATCTATTCCTATACTCCGTTCTTAAACACTAGATTATAAATTTTTAAAAGTAACTTTTGAAAATTTTCTAAAAATTATTAGAGTTCTTGCAAAAAGGACTAAAGTGTTCCTAATTAACTGTATAGAGCTCAACAAAAACCACAATACAAATTATAAAAATTATACAATAATTGTGTTAACTATATTTTTTTTTGAAGAGTAATATTGAATAATTATTTTTATTAATGAGGGAAATAGAAATTAAAAATAATATAACTACTCCTAATTATTAAAAATTGAAAAAATTACTACGCTAAGCAAAAATTTGGTTTCACTAATCAACATTTATATATTAAACATGAATCTCTATCTTACGCAATAATATTTTTAGGGATTTTTTTTCAATGAGAGAGTTTTTAGAAGAAAAAAAATTAACTTATTATCTAATTCAATTTTTATTTATTATAATTATTTATGAATTAAATTATAATATTTTTAAATAAATTATCAATAAAAAAATATTGTGTTACAATATAAATTATTTATCATAAATTTAAAATATAATTTATATGTTTAAAAGTATCTATTTATATAAATTTTAAATATAATTTTTATATATTAGCATAATACTTATTTGTATATATAATTTATTATAAATTTTAGTTACATGTTATAAATATTTAACTTGTGCATTGCATAAGCTAAAATACTATTAACTCCTATATATTAAATATGTACATCAATCTTGCACGGGAGCAATTTTAGGATTTTTTCTTCGACAAGAGGTTTTTAAGAATTTTTTTTAACTTCTTATATAATTTAATTTTAGGCTTAAATATGTTTTTAATCTCTTAAATTTAAGACAAATTTATTTTTGGTTCCTCAAATTTAAAATTATTATTTTTAGTCCCTTAATTTTTAAAAATTTTATTTTAGTCCCTCAAGTCACCAATAACATATTTAAAAATGACTAATTAAGACGATTATACAATATCAACCAGATTTAATGTGATGTTTTCACTAATTACAAATTTTACAATAATGTTTGATAAATTTCTTAACAAAATTTGACTATAAGGACTAAAATAAGATTTTTAAAAATTACAGGACTAAAAATCACAATTTTAAATTTGAGAGACCAAAAACAAATTTATTCTAAATTTGAGGGACTAAAAACATATTTAAGTCTTAATTTTATTTATTATATTATTTATAAATTAAATTTTAATATTTTTAAATAATTTATCAATAAATAAAAATAATATTATGCTTCAGTATAAGTTATCTATACCATTATATAAAAAAAGATATCCTTTTTAATAACTGTTGTGGTCTCCATTTTTATATGAACCAATTTTGTTCTTTTTATTCTATGACATCCTTTATCCCGCATACGTCGATAGATTTAAAACTCCTTAACACATAAAAATACTCTAAATTCACACTCAAATAGTCAATTGAAGCCTTCAACTTGAGATAAAGAGTCTCACATAATAAACTTTAAAACAAACTTCATACTAATGTTAAAATGTAAAACTAAACATAACTCTTTTACTAAAAATTAAGTTAGAATATCCATAATTTAAGTCTCGAAGTCATATATCCTATTAGAGCACTCCAAAGACGACAAGGATTAACCCTTTGTCACCAGTATAAGATCTTGATGAGTATTACCTACAATAACATACATATATCCAATACATGAAAATAAAGGAAAGTGAAAAAACTTCTCACTCTAACTCATGACAGGAAATAAAAGATAAATAGCCAAACTAATCCATACATTATTAATATAATAACATGAAAATAGCAAATATTTATCATTATCAATAACTCATCACCATCACACAATCACTCATTTATAAAATATCGATCATAATTAATTTACATGCAAATATGGAATGCAATAGACACATATTCTTGATTTGCATACATGTAGTACCAATCTCAAGATATATAATACATATAAAACAATTTATCGATTTTCATGCAAATGATAAATGTCACATAAACTCTTTTTTCATGAAATCACTAACTATATGTATATATATATGTACTCAACGATTTGTCACACATACACAATTTTTAATCCATAAAAATTTAAGCCCTAAAAATATTTGAAGTCATTGGATTAAACTTGAGCAGATGGCTTTTCAATCATTTTGAACAATTTTTATTTATACAAGAAAACATTTCCTTTACAAAATTGGTGGAATCTTGGGTGGGGGTAGTGGGGAATTATAATGTCCCAACAATGGGAAAGAAATTTTAGACCGCATGATGTTGCTCTATAAATTTGTATGGTTGGGATTGACTGCAACAAAACCAGTTGTATAAGTTATTATTGTTTTTTAAAATAGATATTTAATGTGTAGGAAGTGTGTCCCCTTTTGTGTCAAACCTTGCAGAATAATTTATCGTTGAAATTATATAAATTTGTACATGCATATATTTTCATTTAAAATTTCTTATACTTACCTTGCTTAATGTTATAGGAAATGGAGTGGAGACTTCATACATACCACCATATAAGGAGAGCTAAGGAGAAGCTACATCTTCCACTTCTCCTACTCTCTTCCATCACTCAATGGGGTCGCGCTCAACTGGTACACCCAGCTACCTGCCGAGTCAATTGACAGCTTTGGAACCCTGGTCAGACGGTTCAAAGCAAAGTATGTGACAAGCTGACCTCATCACATAACATCAGCTGCCCTGGCCAGTCTCAGATAGAGTGACGACGAGCCACTCCGGACGTTCATGGAACGATTCACCGCCATCTCGGTAAAGATCCGAAATCTGAATCCCGAGGTTCCACTGCACTCCATGCTCATGGCATTGAAGCCAAGACCTTTCGTCGATGGCCTTTGTCGATGACCTCCTCACGACATGGACGAGCTCCGAGCTCGCGCTGCTGGGTACATCCAGATGGAGGAGCATGTCGAGTTCCGCAAGGCAATTCGCGACAAACCACAAGGAAAGCAAGACCAAGGTCAGGCCACGAACATTTAAAGTTGGCGACCTTGTTTGGCGATTACGGGGAGAAGCAAGAACAGACCCCTCCAAAGGAAAATTTGGAACATGGAATTCCACCCACCTCAAATTTTATTTCTCTTAAC